TATTAAGTGTATATTATTTAACGCCTTGGGATGCAATTCAGCTTGGATATATTAAGCTGAGATATAATAACAGTAGGAGTTTAAGGAAGCTTGAGACGTTAATCTTAGAAGTCGTTTAAATCTTATGGTAGACCTACTGACAGACAGACACATACAAAGAGACAGACAATCGCCACTTACATCACTGAGAGCCTTGATCAGGACGCCCTACAGATATCGAGGGTAAGTCGCTCTCAACTGGTGCTCTCGGCTCAGCCTGCCACTATAGCACCAGGCGCCCGTCAGTCCCGACCCGACTATCTTGAGTGCCAAACTTATGCTTGCACTAGACAGTCTGGTGCCAAACATTGTCACCAGACTGTCTCAGGTGTCAAACACTGTCATCAGGCCGTCTGTGGTGTCAAACACTGTCATCAGGCCGTCTGTGGTGTCAAACATTGTCATCCGGCTGTCTTGGGTGCCAAACTTCCGTCACCAGGGTGTGTCTGGTGCCAAACATCACTCTCAACAAGCTGCCCATTGTTGTCATCATTTTATTGACGACACTTCATTTTTCCCCAACCAGATGGACGATAAAGCGTCTTCAGTGCCATTGTCCTGTGTGCCATCACCTCTCAACCCTTATCAGTGATGTCAAGCTTTCACGCCGTCAGCTTTCATGGTGCTTAAGTTTATATGATAACACGTCCTCACTGCTTTCACTGTTGCTGTGTAGTGCCAGGGTTAAGTAAGACGGGGACCCAACTTACAGTAGGCCTAATTATTCTTGATGTCACGCAGGTTGGTCCACCTTCGTAGTAAATGCAAATTTGAGGTTTGAATCACGCGGAACAATTATTTCAGGCGTCCTTGTTCGTGTTTTTGGAAGTAAACTGCATGTAGATGAACAGAGGGAGTCGATAGTGCTAGAATAACTAGATCCTCTCATACTCCTTTACGCATAAGCCCACGCGCACATACTTATACGCACACGCCTGACCCTCCTACACACACACACACACACACATGCCACCAATAACTAAAAATAAACTTGCCTAGAAAAATGTAATTGTCTTTATTACATTTAGCAAAAACAAATGATGTCAAGTTACTGTGATTGATGTGTTGATGATGTGTAGGTGTGGAGTGTAGTGGCTGAGGGTGTGTAGGTGTGGAGTGTAGTGGCTGAGGGTGTGTAGGTGTGGAGTGTAGTGGCTGAGGGTGTGTAGGTGTGGAGTGTGAGTGGCTGAGGGTGTGTCTGAGGATGTGTGGTGTGGAGTGTGGTGGCTGGGGATGTGTAGGTGTGGAGTGTGGTGGCTGAGGATGTGTAGGTGTGGAGTGTAGTGGCTGAGGATGTGTAGGTGTGGAGTGTAGTGGCTGAGGATGTGTAGGTGTGGAGTGTAGTGGCTGAGGATGTGTAGGTGTGGAGTGTAGTGGCTGAGGGTGTGTAGGTGTGGAGTGTAGTGGCTGAGGGTGTGTAGGTGTGGAGGTGTAGTGGCTGAGGATGTGTAGGTGTGGAGTGTAGTGGCTGAGGATGTGTAGGTGTGGAGTGTAGTGGCTGAGGATGTGTAGGTGTGGAGTGTAGTGGCTGAGGGTGTGTAGGTGTGGAGTGTAGTGGTTGAGGGTGTGTAGGTGTGGAGGAAAGAGCACAAGAACTAAGAGTGTACGTGTATAGGCACAGGAGGTTTAAACCCCCTTTTCTTCGCCTACGGGAGCCAGAGACCCGCAGACCACCAGCATCACCAGCAGAGAAACTATGTGACCTCTCCTCCACTCTGCCAATATCTTATCCAGTGCTTTCCTTAGTCTCCTCCTTTCCTCTTTTATCATCCCTTTCTCTATTTTCCATCGTCTTGCCTTGTTCTCATTCCTTTGGTTTTATCATTCGCTTCGTTTCCTAGTATATTTTATTTTAAGTCTTGACTCATACTTCGTCCTCTCTCTCTCTCTCTCTCTCTCTCTCTCTCTGATCCTTCTGTTCGTAGTTCTACTCTCAAAGGTCCCTCTTGCCCTCTTCTGTTCATTTCTCCATATTTTTCTCTCTTTTATCACTATCCTCTTCCAGTCTTTCTTATTTCTCGTCTTTCTCACTATTCTCTTCCCATCCTTCTTATTTCTCATCTTTCTCACACTATCCTCTTCCTATCCTTCTTAATTATCATTTTCATTTCACCATTCCATTTTTTTATTCGTCTTTATTATCATTCTTAATATTTCGATCTTGGGGAGAAAAATGAGGAGAGTTAATTCCTCTGTTCATCCATCATCGTCTCTATGCTCATTGTTCGTGGTTTATCATCTTTGTATCACTTTGTTATTCCTGTATGGTTCAGTTTAGTTTTTTTTTTTTTTCACTTGTCAGGATGGTTTAATATTGTGGTCGACTGTCCGTAATTTTCTGATTCTCGGTTTCTTTTTATAAACGACTAAAATTTTTAATGAAACGTTGTAGGAGGAATGTTCCTTGGATGTTCCTTGGATGTTCCTTGAATGTTCCTTGGATGGTCTCCTATTGTCCTACGTCAGTCTCTGTCATTCCGGACGGACGTTTAAGGTCTTCTCTTATCAGTAATGTCTTCTTTATCTTTTACGTTTATTCTAGTTTCCGTTCTGATCTAAACACGTTAATTTAAATATCTATATCTTCCTCGTGACTGGATCTGCTCATAATACAGTGTCCACTAACTCCTTGCTAACAAGATCAGTTCGACCATAGGGCCAGCGGAAAACTTGCTTCTAACTCTTGATAAACAGAGCCGCTCTTAGACAAGGGATTACCTTTATGTTCAGTAGGTTTGAAAATTAACGTCTTCAGCTTATAACTGAATGTGAACCTATTTTCTAATAATAAATACAAATGTTTATTTGTGAGAAAGATAGAACTTACACCAACACTTCAATACTCCTCGCAGTGTTATCGATTATCCCTTCCCTTATCTCTCCCTCCCAGGCACTTTGGCTGTCTGCCTCGGTCCATCAAGGGAATAAGAATGTTTGTATTTACTGTTGTTGTTTAGCTTCTGTAAAATTTTATCAGGTTAACAAAATGTCACTGCGTCTCGTCACTCCTTAATGAATCGTCTAAACGTCTCCCCTTTTCATATTGTCTGAACTTTGTCATGTGACTGCCTTATATGCTTTTCCTTTTCTCATCACAGTCTCACTCTGGTCTTTCTCGTCTCACCGTTACTAACAACGTCCCCCTCCCCCCCCCCCTTTGTCACTACTCCTCATTCATTCCTATCGCCTGTGTCTTTCATGTCGTCGCTCTACGGGCCCTTCCTCACCTTTTTTTTCAGTGAGCCACTTTCAGTTAATTTTCTGTGATTCAGATTTGCCCCGCGAGGGGGCTAGTTTATTGGGCACCCCCTTGCATCCAGTACATGGGGAAGCACATTTACTGTGAGTGGTAGAGTAGTGACACTGTCACGACGGGGTCGGATGGCCTCACTATTAGCAGCAGGTTTGGTAATGTGATCTGTCGTAGACACCAGAGGCCTCCACTGTTCTGCACCTCCTGGCTCAGCTTCACCACCAACCCACAGATTTTTCGTGATTTATGTTATTTTAAACTTGACTACTGATACAAACATGTATTCTATTGTACACTTCCGGACTTCGATACAGTTATTATATATGCCAATACGTGACCAATAGTACTAATAGATAACTTGAAGAGTAATCTTCATATAAAACATAATAATGGTAATAAGTATTAGTTTGATATGTGTACTTTGTATATATTGGGGATGAAGGTCATAGGGACCCTGATGCTGAGTTAAGCTTAACATTCGTGGAAGTACTGTATTTTGCTCATTCGAATCTAGAAATTATTAAATGGAGATCAAAACACATGATTGAATGTAAGATACACATAGCATATTTTGGGTTTAATTCAAGCCTGAAGGGGGATAGTAAATAAGGACTATATTAGGTGATACATCAGCTGGTGGTTGGGACAGTAGTTACTGATTGACGTGGTTCACACAGGGTTCATCTCTCAATATAATTTGTCTACCTGAGTGAATATAACCTATTTAGGCTTAAGAATGTTTTAGGATCGTTAATGTAACTGTGAATAAGTAGATTAATAGCAATTAAATTTTCAGTTTCTTTGAATAAGTTTTTTACAGATCATTGATCATCAAAAGAAAAGGAAAGCCTGTACACACACACACACACACACCCTCCAACATGCACACACACCCTCCAACATGCACACACACCCTCCAACACACACACACCCACCCACACACACCCACACACACGCACCCACACACACACACACACACACACACACCCTCCAACACACACACACACACACACACACACACACACACACACACACACCTCCAACACACACACACACACACACACACACACACACACACACACACACACACACACACACACACCCTCCAACATGCACACACACCCTCCAACACACACACACCCACCCACACACACCCACACACACGCACCCACACACACACACACACACACACACACACACAAATCATAAATAAACCAGGACAGCCAGTTTATACAATAGTCATGTTGCTGTTGTCACGAAACTTACCGTCCCCACCATTCCTAAAAAAACGCTTAGTACACTTTAAGTTTGTGTTTATTTCACTATTAAACCACCATTTATTTAAAGTTATTAAAGGGATTTACAGTACATGTACTTAGATTTATTGTAACTGAATATACGATAATTTATTTTAAACTTGTCCTGGGAGACTGCTGAATGTATTTATACTACCAGTTTCAAGTAACATACACAGCTTTAATATTTATTTTGGGTAGAAATTAACTCTCAAGCATCACGCAACACCTTACCATTACCCGGACAGAGATCTTCCTTGACACTAAATAATGTGCCGTTATGTCCTCCCAGCTCGAGCAGGTAATTTTGTCATCATTTAATTTAGTCATGTTACAAGCAAATTACGTCTTATAAGTTTAGTTTTACATTAAATATATTGTAATAATTTAATATTTTCTTTTCTTCCTCACAGTACGATCCATTCACCACCCCACGACTAAAGGCAGAAGTGGTGAGACTCAACACACTACTCACGGAGACCCGACTCAGCTTAGGTCAGTATCTTACAGGTTTAAGCTTTTGTTTTCTATTGTATCTGAGGATGTGCAATATACCCGGTTCTGATTGTTTCCATATTTATAAATTTCTCTTTTACCTGTATTTAGTCTGTCTATGTATTTTCAGTGTCTCGTTTATATCTGATACATCTAGTTTCGTAATAAAGAAATGTTGGGTAAATAAAATCATGTTTCCATTATATTAAAAGTGAAATACAGGAGTAGGAGATTACAACAGGACTTCCTACTCTTGTTAACAGAAAATATATCACAGGTCTGCCTTTGTTAAAAAAAAAAAATCACCCTCAAATACTGTCCTTCACGAGTGACATACTTGATGAATCGGTACATTGCTCATTACTGCTTCACTGTCATTATCACTATCCATATTTTTAAGTTCTCTGCATTTTGGACATAACACAGTAACATGATCTTATAAACTTCGCTTTTTAAGAAGTCTGGCATAAAACATTACTGTACCAAGAAATAATTCTCACCATATTGTTTCTGGCAGTATGACACATTGTGCCATCTTGTTGAAATCATGTACATATCTCCTCCAAGCGTTGTTTCTACGCCACAGTTCAGGAATGAGAAAGTTCTGCAAGTAGCGTTCAGTGTTTATTGTCAGTCACATTATTTTCTTCAAAGAAATGCTGGCCAATGATGCATCCTGCAGCAATAGCACACCTCACCTTGACTCGCAGGGTGCAGCACTGTTGGGTTTTGTTCAGCTTGGAATCTGCAGTTCAGTTTGTTGACACTACAGTACCAAGAATATCGAAATGGGCTTTATCTACCATTAGCAAACAGATTATGAAATTGCTGTATCTGATGTACTGTAGAGGTCTACAGTTTTAATTCGCCTTGGCAAATCGTAACAGAAATATAAATATTTAAGTATAGATATTTCTTTAAAATACTGCATTTAAAATAAAAATGACAGAAATCCCCTGCTGTTGGTTCGTCTCCTACTCCCTGGCTGGATTTTCAACCTGAAGTGATTGCCCTCAGTGGACCGCTCCCGAAATCCCAGGTGAACCCTGTTATTCTCTGCAAATACCACCTCTCCAGGATCGCCCACTGGTCCCCAGGTAGGGTCGTCCTCTCCACTGATGGTTCTGTTGACCCTGCTACAGGTAGGGCCGGGGCTGGTGTCTACATCTCCCGTCCTGATGCCCCTGAGCCTATCAAACTGTCTCTCAGAGTTTCTGACGGGGCATCCTCCACTCAGGCTGAACTAATAGCCCTCCTTGCTGCCCTTCTCGCTGAGGAAGAAGCAGATGGCTTCTGCCCCTTGCTTGTCTGCTGCGATTCCAGGTCTGCTCTCGACGGGATCGCATTTGGATCAGGGGAAAATAAGGACCTCATCCTCCGAATACGAGGGTTAACATCCACACTTCAGGATGCAGGCCGTCCTGTGACATTCCTATGGATACCCAGTCATGTCGGTATCTTGGGGAATGAGGCAGCAGATGGCCTTGCCAAGACTGGCTGCAACAAGGCCACACCTGACTACGTTGTTCCTCGAACACTTTTACAGCTTAGGACCCAAATTCGCCGCAAACAGAGAGAAGCTCGGGAAGCAGCCATCCCCCTGGACTCCCCGCCCACCTGGTACGATGTCCTCCGTAAACTTCCTGACCTCTCGTACGTCTATGGGAAAGGGTCACGGAAAGGGGACGTGATTGCTGCCCGTATCCCTGCATCCCCTGAGCAACGCTCTTGTGCATTGTGCAGAAGACCCGACAGCAGCACCCTTATCCACTACCTCCTAAGATGTCCCCACACACAACGCTTCCGTGACACCTGCTGGACCACCACTCCACGACCCCCTGACGGAGACACGATGATCCTCCCCATACTGGCCAGATATTTTGTAAATAACATTGATTATGTGTTAAAGGAATATCCTTCCTTCCTTAGGCTTTAGTAAGCCCCTTTATAATATTTATACTGTATATACTTGTCACACTTGCCAGATGCTTCTGGTGTTATTGTACAGGGGTACCTAGTGACAGCACTAGGATCCCGCTTCCTCTATCAAGGAATAAACAATTGAAATTGAAATTAAATTGAATGACAGAAATGGGACACTTTGTATAATAGATGCAGTACAGTAAGTGGTAATAGTTTACAGTTACTTGCCTTTTACTTAGGCTATGAAACTATTTCTTTTAAATTTCTATGAAAATTAAGTTACCTTATAAATGTGGTATTAATAACTAAGATGTTTATTCTTTTGTAGTTCAAAACTATATTGTACAGTATGATAAAAATATATAATTCCAGAATTTCTCCTTTTTTTTTTTTTTTTTACAATGAGCGAGTAACTAGAGACGGAGAAAAGCTGAAATTCTTTAGTTACAACTGAAATTTATACTTTTGGACCCATCATATTTAATGTGGTGTTTAAGAGTACAGTGGTCCCTCGGTTAACGAGCACAATCCGTTCTAGAAGGTTGCTCGTTAACCGAAAAACTCGTTAACCGAAACCATTGTTTCAATGGTTTTTTGGGTAATTGATTCCAGCTCACCGAAAATTGCCTAAATTCAACAAAAATGGTTGAAAAGTACACTTACTTTGAGGTGTGTATGTAGAAGGCTCCTGGATGATGATGGGAATTAGAATGGGGGTGGAGGAGAAAGGAGAAGAGAAGGCATTGGGGTGGAAGAGAAGTCACCCCATGGCGCCATTTCACCCATAAAATTTTACTTCTCTTGGTGTAATTCAAGATTATTTTCTTTAAATCAACACTGCACTGCATTATATATTGTCAATATGTAAAATAAATTTCAAAATGACCAATAATTTGCTTGCAAACACAGAAAAAAGCGTTTAGTTGAAGAGAGTCTCAAGCAAGATGTTACCTCCACTGAAAAGACAGAGAGACTGGCGCCTGTTTGGTGTGTTGACAGGCTGGATGGCGCGCATAAAACTAATTTCCTTACCTTCAATTATGTTCAATAATTGTTAAAATTACTAAAAAATTTAATATTAAACTTTTAAAATGATTGAATAGTATAAACTTCTTGATATTTACTAAAATAGTAAGGAATTTAAGCCCTAAAACCGATTACTGTATTGGCGGACTAATACTACAGCAGGTGGACCGCCAAATGCAAGCGAAAACATGTTGAGGTCAGCTCGTAAAAAACTCATTAATCGAGAGATTGCTCGTTAACCGAAGTTAAGAATCTTATGGAAGGTAACTCGTTAACCGAAATCTCGTTAACCGAGGCGCTCGTTAACCGAGGGATCACTGCTATATTGAAACTTTGAGGATTTTATTTTATTTTTAAACTTTTTAAAATCTTATCCTAAGTATAGTACAGTACTTTGGAACATCCTGATTAACTTTGGGTGAAAATTGTGCAATTCTCTAATTTTTGTAACCCTAATGACATTTAGAATTACAGTACTTACCGTAGCATATACAGTACACTACTGTACTGTATTATAAATTATGCCTTCTGTAAATGTTTAACGCTGGTTTATTCCCACTCATGCTGAGATTAATCTATGGTTAATAGGAAAATATTTATAACAAAATGATTGTTTTTTCCACTCAAGGTGGATTTGGGCGTCAACAAGCTTACTCTGTAAATAAGTTTAAATAAATGGCGAATGGAATGGGAAAGGAAAAGAGGAATACGAGGGGATCCCTACACATGAACCATGCGGCAGTCGACAAAATTTAGAAGAAAACCCAGAAATTCAAGACGTGGGTTGGGTCAAACGGTGAGCAAGACAGGAAGATGTATGCAAGAGCCAGAAACCAAGCAAAGATAGAGTGTAGGAGGGCTGAAAAGGAGTTCCAGAGGCTGGTTGCAAGCGAGGTCAAGTCAAACCCAAAGGCGTTTTACCGCTATGCAAAGTCGAAATTGAAAACGCGAGTAGGAGTATCAGACCTGAGGCTGGTGGATGGTAGTTACGCAGATTCTGACCAGGATAAAGCTGAGGCATTGAACAGCTTCTTTTCCTCAGTGTTCACAAGAGAGGATGCAACTAACCTTCCTGCGTTTGAGGACAGACGGTTCGACACAGCACTGACCCACATTGTGTTCACAGAAGAGGGTATTAGAAATATACTGTCCAGGCTAAAGGTCCATAAGAGTCCTGGCCCTGACATAGTGCATCCTAGAGTGCTAAGAGAGTTGTGCAACGAGCTTGCAGAGCCCCTGAAGATCCTGTTTTGTAAATGCCTGGATGAACAAATGGTCCCCAGTGAATGGAAACTGGCTTATGTGAGTCCTATCTTCAAGAAGGGCGATCGGCACTCCACGAACAACTATAGACCGGTGAGCCTGACCAGCATAATATGTAAAGTACTTGAGAGTATTATCAGAGATGCCACAATGGAACATCTAATACGAAACAACCTTGTAAAAGATTGCCAGCATGGTTTTATGCCGGGGCGCTCCTGCTTAACACAATTGCTCAAGGTATTGGATATTTGGACCCATATTCTGGAACGGGGCGGTAATATCGACAATATTTACCTAGATTTTGCCAAGGCTTTTGACAGTGTACCCCACGAAAGGCTGAAAATCAAACTGGAAGGGTACGGAATTCGGGGAAATGTCCTCGCATGGATAGAAGACTTTCTACATGACCGCAAGCAGTGTGTGGTGATTAATGGCACGAAATCGTCATCTGTACTTGTATTGGGCCCACTGTTGTTTGTTTGTTTCATAAATGACATGCCGGACGTTGTACTCTCCTCCATACAAATGTTTGCCGATGACGCCAAGTTATTTCGGGAAATTAAGAGCCAAGCGGACTGTGAAGAGCTGCAGAAGGACCTCTGTGGGCTCCAGGAATGGTCCGAAGAAATGGCTGCTGAGATTCAATGTCACGAAGTGTAAGAGGATGCACCTGGGGCATACCAACGGTAAGGAGGCGTATCATATGTCCCAACGGGATGAAGAAACTGCACTAGTTGAGACTGTGTGTGAGAAGGACCTAGGTGTGTATGTTGACAATGAGCAGAAGTTCTCGGGTCATTGTGAGAAGAAGGTAAATCAGGCAAATATATTATTGGGTCTTATAAGAAGGTCGTTCAGATATCTAGACGGTCCGTCCCTCGTAACAATCTTCAGGAGTGAAGTGCTTCCCCATCTGGAGTACTGTCACCTCATCTGGTCCCCGAGATATGCTAGGGACTGTCAGTTGGTTGAAAATGTTCAAAGGAGGGCCACCAGACTGGTGTCTGCACTTCGGCACCTCAGCTACCCTGAGAGATTGGAGCACCTGAACTTGCCTAGCTTATACTACAGACGGGCAAGGGGGGACCTAGTTGAGGTGTATAAGCATCTCAGGGGGCACTACTCAGTTGAGTGTCCTTACTTGGAGCTGGCAGACGCTCGCCCCACAAGGGGTCACAGCCCAAGATTGAAGAAGCCACAAGTCCAGAAAACCGTGAGGGCAAACTTTTTCGGAGTGAGGGTTGTAAACTCTTGGAGCAATCTACCAGAGAGTGTTGTGATTGCACCGAGTGTGAGCTCTTTCAAGACAAGTCTTGACCAACACTGGAGCGGGTTCAGGTACATTCAGGAGCCGGTGCATGCCCAGTATTTGCCAACAGTGCCTGACAGAGACGTGACCGATCGCCCGGGCGGCTAGCGAGTCGATCTTTTGGTGAAAAAGATAAATGAAAAGGAAAAGTAATCAGAGACGTGACCGATCGCCCAAGCGGCTAACGAGCCGATCAGTGGCGAAGAGGGTAAAAGTAAAAGATTAAATTCAAACACAACGATGATATACAGTATAGGGAAGTCTGTATACTGTATATTTTTTTCTACATCTCAATATTATAATTACAGCCTGTGGTATAAATATGGAATTGACAGATGTCAAAACAAAGATTGAAAAGAAGTCGGTGTAGTGTCGTTGACCGTCACCAATGTTTTGTTTATTCCTTTATTATACAGACCTGAAGGTTTATGAGATATATTGTGTTCTCTCAAAATTTAGGCATTTTATCTAATCCCTCATTTGGTATAGCTAATAGTTTTTCTTTAGTTATTTGCATTTATAATTATTAAAAGTGTAATATTTGTACTGTACTGTATACTGTAACTGTCAAGTATTGGCCTTTTTGAGGTGTGACCATAAGTCATAATATAGTACTGTATTGTACTGTATTACTTAAAATAAAGAGTTGATCACATGCATACATCATGTTTATAATTTTAAAATGCCTCGCCACGATAGCTCTCTGTAGATAACTGTCCTGCTTTTATTAAAGAAAGATAGCATACTGGATAAAAATATTTTAAGTGGAAAATTTATTTTATGATTTGCTTTTGTAGATGAGAGTAGTGCTGCTGTTCGGCGGCTGCAGGAAGCTGAGGTGAGCAGCTTGGAGCAGCACAACCAGAAGGTGCTGCAGCTTGAGCAGCAGCATCGCGAAACTGTCGATCATTTCAATAAGCAACATCAACGTGAAATTGATCTGGGTCAGTAACATCTTCCTTTAACTTGTCCAGATTTACTCTTAGTTCAAATATAAATGTGAAATATTTATTCAGAAATAATAAGTGACTCCTAAGGCAGTACTATACAGCAATATCCAAATACTGTACACAATAATGTTTCAGCTTATGATAAATGAATGTACAGTAGTACCTGTACAACTTGATTACAGTACTTGAATAATTTAATAAGCTTACTAATCAGTAGCATTTGTTTACCCCCAGCCCTTGAGAAGCACAGGAAAGGACTGTCTCAGTTTGCTGAAGACCAGCAAAACCAGGTACAGTACAAGATTTGTTTTCTGATAACTGTAGTTTTGAAGTTTTAGTTGTAAAACGCCTGAACAAGGAGTTACAAAGATCATTCTATGATAGGATTTTGAGTACTAAAATATTGATTCGGTATTAGAATATTGTAAATATAAATTGTAATGTTGTAGAAGTAGATAGCAATATAATAAAATTTTAGGCCATATATACTGTACAGTATTCTGTAATGCCATAGACTTTTACTATAGATATTATACCGAATAATTTTGTTAAAGGACTGGATGTAATAAAGTGTGGTTGAAAAAGGGAATATGTGATATAGTTAAGCATTAGGAGGTACAGTACTGCAGTCTCTATAGAAAGGATAAAAGAGATGAAAATGTGATAAGAATGAAGGACGTGAGTACAGTATTATGAATTTGTGGAAAAATTGTGTAAGAGTAAGTTTATTAAGTGCTTTATGACATGGAAGGGACAGTACTGTATAGTACTGTATTGTAAAGTCATTTTTAACAAGTTTAGCTTATAGAGAATGTGTTAGGGAAAGATGTGTTGTGGGCAGAGAACATGAAATACTGTACAGAAATATGAAGGAACAGAAATATGAAGGATATTTTAAAATGAAAGGAGTAGATAACCAAAATAGAGCCAGTCTGAGTTTAATGTACAGTACTGAGAGAATAGAAAATGGAGATTGGTGGAAAAGAATGTTTCATTTAAAAGTGTATGGTAGGAGAGAAGGGAGGACCAAGGATTCAAAATTATAGAGTATGGGAGGAAGGGGATCCAGGGGGGCATGGTGCCAACTAATTTATTGCAGTGTACGTGCTACTGATGAATGATGGTAGGTTGTATGAAGAAAATGGGTAAACCTTTTGGAAATCTTAGGTCCATATAATAGGGAGGGGGAATACTGTACTGTACCATAGCAGACAATGTTACTGTGTTTAAAGAGAATGAATGATGGGAGAGTCTACATTAGTCTTGATTATGGCCACCTTGTGCAAGCCTGAATTAAAAGTATTTTATTTTATGTGGTGTTACATTTTACTTCAGCGTGAGGAACTGAGCCGAGCCCATACTGCAGAGATAGAGCAACTGGACGGCGAATGGAGGAATAAGCTAGACCTCCAGCATGAGAAACACCTCTGTGCTGTGCAAGAGCTAAACACCCAACACACACACAAGGTAAATAAGAAGTTCTAGTCAAGATCTTTTTCAGTAATTGTTTATACAGTGTTTATAATATATCTTATTCCTTTAATAAACTCTTCAGTGTTTAATAGTTATAGTAAAGTGGAGTTTTGTAGCAGATATTTATCGGCTTATCTGCAAATTTATGAAAGTCGTAGAGGGTTAAGAGATAAATTGTAGAGCAAACATTTTTTGTCATTGTTTTACTTCCTTGCTATTCACACTGGCCACTGAAGTCCTCCTCCCCCTCCTCCTCCAAGTCAACAGTTTACTCAGTTATCTCATCCTTTTCAGCCACATCTTCTCACCAATTTTAAATGTATTGACTTCTCTTATCTTCTACTTATTACCCTACTTAGCACATATTCCAGCCATCGTAATCTTGACCGTTTTCAATTTCACAGATGTTTACTTGAAACATATATTCTCTGCAGTTTCTATATTTTCCAATTTTATCTTACAATTTCCATTACCTCCTCTACACAATCTCCTCATTTACCCTCAAATAACTTGACTCTACCCTTTTCCTGCTGCTCAATGAGACCTCAGTTTTCTTTGCATTACTTTCAACCTTCCTCTTTCTGAATATTCCTCTCATCCTAAACAATTATTCTGTAACTCCTCTTTAGTATCAGCTGTATGTTTCACACCATCATCAAACCTTAGTTCCTACACTTCTGTACTGCTATAAATAGGATTGAGCTTTAGGGTGATTTCAGACTGCAGATTTACAGCGTTTAATGCCAGACAAGTGATTTTTCATGTCCTTGTGCCCAGCAGATAAGTTAATATTTTCAAAGGCAAATACCCAGACAGGAATTTTTAAGGTGCTGTATGAACCCACCTCCCTGTACCTGCTTAACCAGCGAGGTGACATAAGGGGCTGTGTATATTGGAGATGTTCGGGGTACTTGGTTCTAACTACGGGAGCGAGCATAAACACCTGTAGAGTTCTGTAGGTTCTTATTAACGGAAATATACAGGAATGCGCTCACACGCGCAGGTAGTCCTTACACTCCTATAGGGGTCAACTGACCTCTCTCTGACCTCTCAGGCAACATGTGGTAAGTGGTACATTAGCAGCTTCCAGATGTCGCCAGGCACATTTATCTAAGCATGTGGTGACATGAAACAGGGGCATTGCCACACGCTACTGACTAGAGAAGTAATGTATACAGTATATATGGAGTACATACATGGTATACATACAACATACATAATACAGTACACATACATATATGTGTATGCTTAACCTGACACCTTATCGTGACATCACAGTTGTTCACTATTATTTCACTTGGTCTATTGTAATGATCTGACCTGAAATTCTACACTGTATAAGCTCCTGCTGATTGCTGTTGAAGCAGAGTTGTGCTATAAATTGTAGTGGGAACATTAGCATGAATAAAATGCAAGAAAAATTGACTGGGTGAGGGTAAAATGCATCAAGATGGACACGAATGATCTCGGAGTTGATAAACACAACAAATTTGAATGTTTTAAAATGTTTATTTAACTGTTCTCATAAAAAAAAGAACAAGCAAATTTCCTCTTAAAATTTATCAGGGTAAGTTAGAAAGATATCCTAAAGTAAATTTCATGTCACTTGCCCAGTACAATACAAGTAAATGTTCACTGCACACTCTAGGTTGATCCCTGCTGTTGTGGTCTTAACTTTGACTTCATATGTGATTCCTCACCTTGTTCCTTCATACAGGACTTTTACTATTCTTGTAAGTTTCTTGGGTATTATACTCCTTTTTCTACAAGCTCCAGTAAGCTACCTCCTTTGGTAAACCATAATAAGTTTTACCAATGTCTACAAATCCCTGTACTGTACTGTGTGTTCTACTTTCTGCAAGAAATTTTCATTTCATTTGTCTCTATGAATACTGTACATGTATTACATCTTTAGTTCCTTCACGTGGCAAGAGCTTAAATTGTATTATATCTTTCTTTATTAACCGTCTTAGCCCGTCTTCTACCCTTCCAAGTACTGTACTGTAATGTACTTTTAACCTTCATTCTAATAGTAGATACCTGTATTTGCACTACTGTATATCTCTGCTTCTCCGAAGTCATCATAGAGTGGGTTCTCATTATGGTTATTACTGTATACTGTAGTTGAAGTACCTTAGATGGATTTAAAAGGAATATTTTTTTCAGTTGCGTGAGTTGGAGTCATCTCGGAAAGCTCGGGAACGTGAATTAGAAGAGGCAAACTTCCGCCTAATGCAAGATCAAGAAGCTCTGATGATTGAGTCTAAGAAATTAGAGGAAACCCTACTGAACGATACTGACCACAGACTGCAGGCTGTTCGCAAGATGTGTTCATCTCTCAAGAGTGAGGTAGGTGACTAGGCTGTAACCTCTAATGGGGTCACCATCTATCAATTAAAGTACCTGGTACGTTTGACTAAGTACTGTTATGTCTTTTGAAGTATTAGAAGTTGTAAGCACCTCAAAAAGAATTTCTCAGTCAAATGTACATAGAGGTACAGTATTTGGAGTTGGTAGATGGCCACCCTACGAGAGGTCACAGCTTCAAGTTAAAGAGGCTATCAGTGCAGAAAACTTTCAGAGCTAATTACTCTGGAGTAAGAGTTGTGAACACCTTAGAACAACCTGCCAGAGACAGTTGTAACAACACCAAGTGTGAGCTGTAAATTCAGACTTGGCCATCCTAGTACTGTACAGTACAGTATATGTTCAGGTGCAGTATACAGTACTGTATATTCAAGAACTTGTATATGCCCAATACTTACCAGCAGTGTTTAACAGAACAGATTGGCTGCCCAACCAGCTAATAAGTTGACAAGTGATGAAGAGGATAAGTAATAAAAGCCATGCTTAGTGACATTAGCATACATATACTGTACAGTACTTAGTAGCAATTTGGAGAGTTAGAGAGGTAGGCCGGAGGTGTAGAGGCAAAGCCTTGGTTGAGGGTCCAATGAGACTTTGACTCTTAGAATTTTTTTTTTAATAGGAAAATAAAGATTACCAGGGGTAACTGTCCTTAGGGGAATGTAATTCATATAAAGGTTTTATTGAGAAATAGATTTCACTGAGAAATATAATTTTATAACTTATTTATTAATGTGGGTTGGTTTAGGCTCTGGTATGTTCTGTTATTCTGGGATTTATATTTTGTTAGTTATGGTGTTAATTCACCATCTTGTGGAAATAACTTGTACAGTTTATAAACTAGAAGCAACCACTTAGGCATCAGTTTAGTGTCATTGAAGCATCACTAAAAGTGCTGTGATTTTGGTTCTGAATCATTATCGTCGTTTAACGGCCTTTTTCCACGCTTGCTTGGTAGCCGCAGTTACTTTTAGATAACTGCTCACTTCACCCTCCTGTGAAGCAGCTGGATCCCAACAACTGTATTGTGTTATTATTGCACTTCATTTTATGTTTTTTCGTGTTGTACTGTACTTTACCGTATATACCGGTATATCTTTTCTTTTTCATTACGTACTCTCAAGGTTTGGCTATAGTTAAGTACACAACGTTATTGAATTGTGTTGTGTTGCCTTTGAATACAATACAGTACTCTACTAGGATTCTTGCATAAAGTAAATCAGGAAATTTTTAGTAAACCATTTGTTCATATTTTTAAGGGAGATGATATAACCTTAGTTATTTCATCTTTACAGGTTGACTCACTAAAGTCTGTGGTAGAAATGAAGAATGCTGAAATCCATGACCTTCGTGGACAGGTGATAGAGATGGATAGATTGTCCAGTGAACTAGAGTTTGCACGTGACAAAGCCAAAGCTCTCCAGGCCAAGACAGAAGATCTCCAAGCACAGATGGAAAAGAAGGCCATACAAGAAAGGTTGTAATGGAAGGGTTGCTTAATATGCTTTAATGACTATACAATATACATCTTTTTAAATTTCAAGTTACTGATAACATGAAATGTTTATGATATTGTACCATAAGCTAGTGTTAGCTTGCACTGATTTTTTAAATAATACTGGATATATGATTAAAAAAAACTGGTAGTGACATGTTAAGTCATTTAAAGTCATTCATTCAGGTATCTTTTTTCATCGGTAGACATTATGCTTTACTGTACTGGTGTAGATTATGTGACATTGCAAACCCAGAATTTGAAGATTAATATTGTTCTTGTTTTTATGTGTACAGTATTAGAATCCTGTTAATTGCTAATTTTATTGAATTTAGTTATTACACAAATAACTCTATGCAAAGATGATTAAGGAGTCTTAATAGTTTCCTTACTTTTTAACTAAATCTCTGTAGTTTATTGAATACATTGCTGTAATTTTCTTAAGAAATTTACTTGCCAAATTACAGAATGATAATGTAATGAATCAGTAACTTTAACAGTGCACAGCAGACTTGCTTACTGGGTATTTTCTTTCCAACACCAGAGCAGGAACTAAAGTCTTTTTTTTTTATGCAGACACTTAGTAAATGAGCATAGACTCCTGGTTGAGACCTTCCAGAGGGAATCCAATGCTAACAAACGACTCAGTCTAGAAAATGAGGAACTAGCGTGGAAACTCCGACAACGGGAGGAGATAATGTCTACCTCCATGCCTTCTTCTACTCTTGGTATGTTGATCACAATATCATAATCCTTTATAAATACACAGTTGGCCCTCAGGTAAAATACTTGAGTAATATAACTTAACCTACTTCTTATACTATGGGGGTATTACTGTAATGCCTTTGGGAATGGTGCTTGTAATAAAACATTTATAAAAATTTGTTTTATGGAAAAAATTATTCATCAGCTTAATTGAAACATGAATACTGTACTAACATAGACAGGGTAAATGCAGCCACTAACTACAAGGTTTTGTTATTGAAGGAGGTAACAACAATTTTATTTCTATTATCACCCAAAACTCTGCTTGGTACACTGGATTTTCTTAATGCCATTCTTCATGTATACAGTAACACAAGGTAAACTGTAGCTTTTTTCTTTTTTTGCTGAACTGATAGGAAACACATTTGTTGGCTTGGGTCATTGATATTTATAATTTCATTGGTAAGGAATATCAGACAACCAAGAGGATTGCCAGTTACTCTGCTAGTTGGTGCTTGTGTATCCCATCAAACTACTGTGCTAATGGTAATGTTGACATGAGTTACTTGTACTGACAAGTTGAACAACTATAAACTGACTGCTTAGAGTTGGTGAACCTGTGGAGTTTCAATATTTCCTTAACTTTAAGGAATCTCTATTCCCAGCTCTTTTTGGGCTTGATTATGAACCTCAAGGATTTGAGGTTGAGGTTTTCTGTAGATTTTTGTTGATACAGGTACAGTATTACCCAATTTACAAAAGGGTTCTGTTCCTAAAAGTACAGTATTGTAAACTGATTTTTCATTAATCAAAACCCATTTTCCTCTGATCCCTTTCATTAAAAACTCAGATACATTCCTATGAAAAAATTAAATGTCTCAAAATAAAACAAATGTTCCAAAACCTGTTTTAATGACAATTTTTGGTGTACACAATGATTATAAGCCAATAATAAACATAGTAACTGAAATACATGATGTATCGTAAAGTACAATACAATTATAATTTTTTAAGTACGTACTGTACAGTGAAACAAAATGAGCAATATAAAATGTTAAGCCACCATTTATGATAATTATATTACCTGAGCTGTAGATAGAGAGAGTTCAGCCACCGGGCACCATATTACTCAACAGGTAGGAAGTCTTCTCGGGCTGTCTCCCACATAATTTATAAATATGCTTATCGAATTGTAAACATGTTTGACAATTTTACTTAATAAATATCATCATTATCCTATACAGTACCAGTGCAAACTTCATCAGCTGAGTAACAACATGATGGCCACATATCACCGAGTTGACTTAACTCTCTATCTGTGGCTCTGGTCGTTTGTGTGTGTTGGCACCATCGAGGAAATAGTTATTACAGTTAATACTACACATGACTTTTCATGTGTGTTTACAGAGAATTGTGATGACTAATTTCATACACGGTATTAGATTACCGATAATTGCTCCAAGCAATTTTTTCTTGTGGAATCTTTTGAAACATTTTATGGAACCCAAGGGTTTTGTGGAACCTTAGTTGGAAATCTTTGTTTGAGTCCGTTCCATAGCATCAGTTGTAGTATCAGAGGGAGTTTATCACTTCATCAGACAGTGTCCCTGCCTGATTCTCAAATGTCTGTGTATTTATCACTATCATATTCATCTTTGCTCAGCATTTTTAGGGTGAAAAACAGTTGGGAAGACGGGCAAGAATGCATTAATCCAGGCTGTGCAGTTTTGTAGAACATTTACTTGCCCAGATGTTTTTCTTACTTGCCCTGATAAATTTGGGATGATTTTTGCTTGCCTGGTTTTGGTATGTTAAATACACAATTTAAAACATTCAAATGTATTGTCTATCAACTCATGGATCACTTGACAAATTAACCCAGTCCAACAAGGTTCTTGTTTTATTCAATTTAGTCACTTATGAGAATTGTAAGGACTTTAAAGCGATCTTTCAAGAAATATCTCAGAGTATAAGTAACACTTGTGTGTATGTATAGCCCCTTGGAGATTATGAAACAGGTCACTTAATAGAGGATATTTCTCTCTACCCTTTACCTCAGCTGGTTTGGGTTCCCAGGTTGTCTGATAGCCTGCATCACAAGTATAAATGCATTTGGCTTAAACCAATGTTTCTTTCAATCTGTATCTGTGCAGCTGATTAGTTTATAGGCTATATTGGCTCTTATCAAGCAAAGTGATTGACATTTATGCAGGTCATCTCTCCATCCCTTTCTCAACCATAGAAAATTACTTTTCAAACATGGTTCTTTATATCTTTGGTCACATTCATACCACAGGAGTTTCTTCATCAATGCCTTCTTTTCACATATTTAACTCTCTCAGTAAAATTGCTATTTTCTTGTTTTGTATTTGTTATTGTCTCCTTGATGTTGTCTTAAATGCCATGTACAAGGAAGAACTGAATTTCTTCCTCCTTGCATACAGTATATTTATTCAGGTATCCATCATTCTGCTGACAGACTATTACATCTTAGATACAAGCAGACAGGTGACTTTTCTTGTATGTTACCCAAAATAAAGGGCAGAGTTCTATAGGAAATCCTTTAAAAAATGTTCATCAGGTGCTGGGTGCTTCACACTGAAGATGGGATTTACTTGTTAAAATATTAGGGAGGGAGCCTTTACAGCAGGTGCCATCCTGCTCTTTCTGCAGGAAGAGGTGACATAGTACAAATAGGTAAATGGAAATGATATCTTCGGAGGGCAAACATACAGCAATAACAGTCATTCATTTGAAAACTTTATTAGTTAACAAAGGATTAGTAGTTTTTTTTTTTTTTCAATTTGCTATCACATACAAAGATACAGGGTATACCAAAATTGTTGCACACCCACAAGTAATACATTTACTGTATACTGTATAAATATTGTGTTTAAAGACATGACCTCTTTACAAGGCTTCAGATGTCTTTTCGGAGGGCGTAGACAAGGTAGATTCAACATCTGTTCAATGATCTAAATATTTTTGTATCTGTTTTAAAGTCTTAAGATACCTAAATTGGAGTTTTCTTTTTAATGAGAAAGCTGTAGCAATTAAGTTGTTGTGTGTTTCTCCTCATTTAACTTTATACTTGGTGAACTAAGTCTTTATCTTCATTTGCTAGGCTTGGGCTGCATGTGCTTGCCTCCACAGATATTTGTCTTGCATGAAGTTTTATCCAAAGCACAGTATCCTGGTGGAGGTGTTGCATAAGATGGAAGAATGTGGTTGGCATTATTTTTATATGCAGTATGTATATCAAAATATGAATTGTTCATTATCATGTACAGTACTGTAATATATGGGACAAAGATAATGAAACACAACTTTGGATACTGCTGTGGAATGCTGCACATGCACACATGAAGCCGATGGTAAGACCAGATGCTATACATTTACTCAAAACAAAAAACATAAGCTAAGCGCTGAATGCTTGAGTCTCCCTTATGCATATTAAATTATTTTTGCAGAAATGTATGTAATTCAGCCAATGCATGATTAACATGTCGAGTAGTGAGAGCTTTATGCAATTAGTCGTTAGTATTTTCTCAGATGCAGCTGTTATACCATAAAAATTATTATAAAGTTGACATGCTCTGCCGATAGTACAGTATAAATATAATTACAGTATGTCAATTTGTATCAGACAATGAATGCAAGGGCTCTTGCCTTTTAGTGTGGACTTCTAAATTCCTAGCTTAGTTAACAATACCGATATTAAGGCACCATCGGTCTTCCCACTCCATGCTTAAGTACCCCACTGGTCTGACCACCGGCCTGCACCTGACGCTCGGGTCACCTTTTACAGATCTCGTGAGCCGCTCCTCAGCAACACCACGGCGCCAAGAGGGGGCGCCCTCCCCTCAGGCTGCCCCCCGATCACCCAGGTACGTAACCCTGCACTCCCTACCACCTACTGCCTTGCACTCCAGCACCTATAGGTACAAACAGTACCTGCACACCATTCCCCATCCTAAGTCACGCATTCATTTTGTATGTGATCCTAAAAGTAATTATCTCACACAAAAACCTTGTTTATTCTTTAATTTAAGGAAATTGCTTGGTTATTTCCTAAGAATGTTTGTAATTGTAATCCCTTTGAGTAGATAATTTTCTATAAAAAAAAGCTTTAATAAATTTTTTTGAAATGCCAATGTCAGGCAAAGATTTTTAATGTTTATATATTTTTGTCTATTCTGTAGATAAATCATAAGCATAATGATTATTGGACTATTAACACATCATAATTTTCAAAGGAAACTTTGTTTATCATTGGATTTCTAAGAAATTGAAAAATTACTTGTGTATTATCTATTTCAGTATTTTAAAATGGGTAACAAAAATTATTATGAATATTTTGATACTGTAATATACAGTATATGCCTTGTGTAATTTTTACCACAATAATTGATAATTATTTATGATAATTACATATAGTCTCTGATAATATTAGTACACATTGTATTACTTATTCACTTAGAAATAATTTATCTTGAAGATTTTTTTTTTCCAAACTTCTTTAGTAGTTACAATATAGAATTTAACTTGAGTTATCCACCTTCCCCTCCCTTCACCATATACTGTGAATGTTTTCATGAAGCTTCATGCATGACATTTATTTTGTATCAAAAAAACTGTAAACAGTCACTAAATGCAAGTGTATTTGTTGATAGTTTAGATTTTTTTTTTACAGATGTTTATGATTTTTAATACTGTTATTGTTCAGAAAACAAATTCATGATTTGTGGAAAAAATAGATAAATAAATTCATATATGTTATGGCTTTGGCAATGGCTTTATAGATCAAGCATTGTATTCCATATGTGCTAGTTAGTCTTCCTTGTGTCCTGATGGTAGGAGAAATGTCAAACCTGCTGTAAGGACTTCATTAGTTCAATGTTTCTCCCAAATTTGTGGCCGTTCCAGAGGATCGACTTAACAGGTAAATAATTTTTGCAGCTATAATAAATACATAACATGTGTTTTTAAGTTACAAAAATAAATCTACTCACATAAAAAAAAAATTGTTCACAGGGTAGCTGTTCGGTCTCCATCAGGAAAAATATCACCTTCCAAGTGTGATGTCGGCAAACGCAGGTCCCGGTTAGGTCTTGCCCCTGAAGATGGTGCTGATGGAGATGACAAAGTACAGGAGGTTTCTTTTGAATCTCCCCCACCATCACCATGTGTGAAATCTGTGGTGGAGAAGTCAAATTCTGTCTCTTTTATTCTTGATCTTAATGACTCACAGTCTGATGATAGTTTTTTAGATCTGCCTCCATCGCCCAGACCTCGGCCGCAGCGAACGGTATCTCTAAGTGCCGCAGACCGCCCACGTACTCCTACGCATGTACGGAGAGTCATTCATAACAACAGAGCAAATGCTATGAACAGAAATGGATTACATGCTGATGGTAAGCCAAAGGATATAAATGAGAAACCAAAGAAAATTAATGGAAAGGCAAAAGAATTAAATGAAAAACCCAAAGAAGTAAATGGGAAATCTTTGGACGCTAATGGTCATGGTAGTCGACCGGGATCTAGGCGAACCACATCAGAAAGTAGTGAAGGAGGCAGCGAGATGGAAAGAGTATCTCCAACTGGTCTAGCATGGACTGTGCCTGTCCATTCACCTAAGTCTCCTGCTAAAGTAAATGCCTCTCGACAAAATGGATCACCAGTAAGAGGCAGGATAGAGCACCATCTTCTGGAGGATCCAGATGAGGATGAGTATGAAGAAACTCCAGGTGGTACCCATCAATTCATTGAAGTTGTAGAACTGTCTGGAGTTGGACTCACGAGTAGCTCTGAGGCTGCCAGTGACTCGGAACTTTCTCAGTGTGACATAATAAAGGGGGGTTCCTCTTCAGACTCTGATAGTGATAGTAGTGATGGTGAGCGGCACAGCAAACAGGGCTCATCTAATCATAAACCCCATAGTCGGAAAAATGGACCTTGGTGCCCCAAGGAGGGTGCTGGCGAAGCTATGATAACTGATGAACTGTTGAAACAATATACTGGTGACGCCCTGACTATTGAACCACTCCCAGGTCGAGGGAAACGACCCACTCGAAGACGCCTTCCTTCTGCACCATCTTCTGATTCTGACGATAACAACGTAAATCTTCACAACGATGGAAACAACATGGATGTCAGCTGGTCTGAGGATGTGGATATCACTTCTAGCTCTGAGATGCACGAGCTGTGATGGCACAGCATAACTCCTTCCTCTCGACCGACATCTGACGAACGACTGCGAACGACTAAACACTGCCACAGCTTTCTGACTTGCCATGACACAAGTGATCTCTATGGTGGTACAATTTCCTTTGTGCAGGTATCAATCCTAATTGCCCTGACACACCTCAGCCTTTGTCCTTTGTTGCTGATTGTGTGGGTACATTACCCATTGTGGGAAAACAAAATGCCAATACCATTCACTAGATGAATCACTTGATGGCCAGTTTATGTTGTGTTTATTTTCTAGTCAAGCTGTGTAATTCCACAGACCAGATCTAACCATACCTACACCCTCCTCTCCTAGCTACAGTTATCCAGTGGCTCAACTCTAGCAGGAAGTGAATTTTCTCCCAGTGTTCCCATTGCCTCTTGTGAAACCGTAAGTGAGAGGAGCATTATGGGATTATGTTTTGCCTTATCAGACCTACTTTTGTTTAGTCACTACTTGTGGCACCCATGTTTACAAGCAAAAATGAAAATTCATTCTTAGAGAATGTTTAAATTTGAAAAATAGATCCAGTATGCCTAGTTCTGTGCTGAGCAGTACCACAACCCACTGAATGTTACCTAAACAATAAAAAGGTTGTATGATAAGACTCAGCAGTTGGTTGTACATAATTCCCATGTAAGTCTGAAAATACAACATATATATATTATCACTCACACTATAGTGTAATATATCTGATAAGAGCATGATGTATTTACAAATTCAACTAAAGAGCTTATACCCTATCAAGAGTCCAGAATTAATGTAATTTATTACATGCACAATGAAAAAAAAGCGCAAAAAATTATTGTTTATATATTTAATTGTTTTCCAAGTTACATAATATGCCAGTACAGTTTTGTTAATGGTGGCAAAACATGAATTATTCATAAATGGCCCATTGGGCGTGTGCCAGGCTACGCTGAGCATTGACGCAACTATACATGCCTTCTGTTGTTGCTCTGGCCAGGTTGATTGTGTCTTCAGCTTCTATTATTGTTAATTCTTGTTATCATCCTTATGGTCATGCTCTTGTTAATATGTCGTGTTAAATAAATAAACTAGTACCAAACCATGTCATACTTGCTGCAGATGACCCTAATACACAGATACATTATTTCATGTGACATATAATGGTAGCTGATGGCATACACCACAGCCAGAATATTATCTATAGAAATCAGTTTGTGGCCATTTCTATATACCATTTGCAGGAACACACACGTCTACATATGCAATGTGGTGCCATGTGATACCTGTTTTTCTACCCAGTGTGCAAAGTGCTAACAGTGCTAGGGCTCGTTAGGTCAGTCTGCCCAGGTAGTAAGGGTTAGTTATTTGTGGTGATCATAGCAATTTTGTGATTTAAGGAAACAAACTGAGGCTCTTTTTACTTGTTTTGCAAATAAGGGAGACAGCCATGTAGTAATTCTTTCCAGGAAACACAAAATTGCAAATTTCACCAATGATGTAGTGAAAATAAAATCTTCCAATTGATTTTTTGCAGATAGTGACCATTATCGCCCTCACATATTCTTAGGAGAGTGTCTTGGTTTTAATGATTTAAGAGTATTACAGCATTGTTTATACTAAGTTCAAAGCCCTGATGTGATGTTATTTTACATCTATATTACTACCCAGCTATTAAGTTTAAAGCCCCGATGTGATCTTACTGTAGGACATAGAAATAAAGCAAAGCTCGAGTTTTCTCTTTTCATAACCCACATTCTATTTTGTTAATATCTTAAGCAGACTCCTCAATTTCTGTCACAAGTACCTACATTAGGACAGCTGACCAATGTTGGTACGTACACGCTCCAAATATTATCTTTACGGTTGGGTCCAATGGATATAAAAATGAACACCACAACTGCTGTTGTCTCAGTTGGGTTGTCAGAATATTTCGTCTGTTGTCATATTTTGTCTTGCACAAAATCAAGATAAAATTTTGGGGGAGCAAGTGTGCACATGAAAATAATGTTCTGCCTAAACATGGTATTACTTTGATCTGAAATGTCCATATCATGGCTCCTTGGTCATACACCAAGGAGCTACTAGTTCAAAATAATATAATTTCAATCTAAAGGGAATCCCTATCAGGTGCCAAATCTATATACTTTGAAGATAATGACCAACACAAACATGTCATTACTTTAACCCGAGTTCAGCCTAGAACAATCACACAAGACTATTGCTTACCATAAAGTTATAAGTGTACTGTTACTTTCAATTTTTATTTTTTTTTACATAGACTAAGTTGCGATCCTCCAAGTGGCAGCTTGTAGGGTCTCTTAAAAATTAAAGTTTCAAATTTGTTTTATTCACTCGCACCCAGTCCCAATTTTTTTCAGTTCCTAGTAAGGTCAGTGTTCAAAATATTTTTGAAATCATACAATATTTGGAGGTCACCCTCATGAGTTAAAATTTTACAATTACTGTATGTATGATGAAAGTTGTATCTATCATCCAGATGGCATAGAGGAAGAAGTTGTATTGATTGGTTCCGATGAACCAGAAATCAAGAGTACTAAAGTAACGTCATACAGGCAAGGTTTTGGACATTCCCTGTTCCTCCATTTGGAGGAGAATAAGACTACTCAAGATGACAGTCACGAAGCAATACAGGCCATCAAGGCATTATGGGATATAGCTAGCATCCCAACAATGCATCAAGTAGCTGTGAGGTCCCCTGGAGACACTTCTGCCCCTAGCAGGTCGCCTGGTGACAGTTGTTTTTACACTATTTAGAAATCTGGGAGTTATGACGTTAAATAAATGCATTGGCCATCGCATTTCCAGTATCATCTCATTCTGAACAATGAAAAGGAAAATAAATATCGAACAGCAAATCATAAGTTTGGGTGTTGTGCTGACTGACTGCTCTGTTCTATTGGCTGTAGTTCATTGGATTTACATTTTAATCCACCAATCACAGTTAAGTAAGGGATTGCTGGACTTTTGCATTATGTACGACACCAAGACCAAGCAAGCTTTAGGGTTCCTGAAGGAGGCTCCACTTGTAGTGCCCCTGGGGACTCCGCTGCCTCTGGGACGGACCATAGGTGACGCCACTGTCGCTGGAAGGGCCCCTGGGGGCACTGCCGCTTCTGGGAGGGACCCTGGGGGCGATGCTGCCCTTGGGAGATCCCTTGGGAATTTCCATGGGGGTGCCACAGTCCTTGGGATGGCAGCTGGGTGCTGTCGCATATTGGAAGCAACCTGTGGGTGCTGCCGCCCTTGAAATGGCCCTTAGGAGCGCCGCAGCTCTTTTGAGGGCCCCAAGGGGCACCACCGTTCCTAAGAGGTCTCTGAGGGAGCCAACGCACTGACCAGGTCTCCTGTGGGCAGTTGTTTTACAGTATTTAGAACTCTGGGAGATATTATGGCATTAAATAAATACAATGTCCATCGCATTTCCAGTATCATCTCATCGTGAACAATGAAAAGGAAAATAAATATCCAACAGCAAAACATAAGTTTGGGTGTTGTCCTGACTGACTACTCTGTTCTCCTATTGGCTGTAGTTCGTTGGATTTACATTTTAGTCCACCAATCACAGTTAAGTTAGGAGTAGGACACAACGACCAAGCAAGCTAGAGGGCTCCTGGGAGGGGGCACACCTGGTAGGGCTCCTGGGAGCTCCGCCACCCTTGGGAGGGACCCTGGGGGTACGACCACCCCTGGGAGGCCCCTGCGGGAGCTGCTGCCTTCAGGAGATCCTCCAGAGGCGGCGCCGAACCCAGAGTATTTCCCTGGAGGCACCACCGCTCCTGGGAGGGCCCCTGGAGGCATTGCAGCCCCTTGGAATGCACCTAGGGGTACCGCTGGCCGTGGGAGGACACCTGGGGGCGCTGCCGCACCTGAGAATGCCCCTGAGAGCGCCGCTGCACCTGTGAGGTCCCCTGGGGATGCTTCCGCCCCTAGCAGGTCTCCTGGTGACAGCTGTTTTTACACTATTTAGAAATCTGGGAGTTATGACGTTAAATAAATGCATTGGCCATCGCATTTCCAGTATCATCTCATTCTGAACAATGAAAAGGAAAATAAATATCGAACAGCAAATCATAAGTTTGGGTGTTGTGCTGACTGACTGCTCTGTTCTATTGGCTGTAGTTCATTGGATTTACATTTTAATCCACCAATCACAGTTAAGTAAGGGATTGCTGGACTTTTGCATTATGTACGACACCAAGACCAAGCAAGCTTTAGGGTTCCTGAAGGAGGCTCCACTTGTAGTGCCCCTGGGGACTCCGCTGCCTCTGGGACGGACCATAGGTGACGCCACTGTCGCTGGAAGGGCCCCTGGGGGCACTGCCGCTTCTGGGAGGGACCCTGGGGGCGATGCTGCCCTTGGGAGATCCCTTGGGAATTTCCATGGGGGTGCCACAGTCCTTGGGATGGCAGCTGGGTGCTGTCGCATATTGGAAGCAACCTGTGGGTGCTGCCGCCCTTGAAATGGCCCTTAGGAGCGCCGCAGCTCTTTTGAGGGCCCCAAGGGGCACCACCGTTCCTAAGAGGTCTCTGGGGAGCCAACGCACTGACCAGGTCTCCTGTGGGCAGTTGTTTTACAGTATTTAGAACTCTGGGAGATATTATGGCATTAAATAAATACAATGTCCATCGCATTTCCAGTATCATCTCATCGTGAACAATGAAAAGGAAAATAAATATCCAACAGCAAAACATAAGTTTGGGTGTTGTCCTGACTGACTACTCTGTTCTCCTATTGGCTGTAGTTCGTTGGATTTACATTTTAGTCCACCAATCACAGTTAAGTTAGGAGTAGGACACAACGACCAAGCAAGCTAGAGGGCTCCTGGGAGGGGGCACACCTGGTAGGGCTCCTGGGAGCTCCGCCACCCTTGGGAGGGACCCTGGGGGTACGACCACCCCTGGGAGGCCCCTGCGGGAGCTGCTGCCTTCAGGAGATCCTCCAGAGGCGGCGCCGAACCCAGAGTATTTCCCTGGAGGCACCACCGCTCCTGGGAGGGCCCCTGGAGGCATTGCAGCCCCTTGGAATGCACCTAGGGGTACCGCTGGCCGTGGGAGGACACCTGGGGGCGCTGCCGCACCTGAGAATGCCCCTGAGAGCGCCGCTGCACCTGTGAGGTCCCCTGGGGATGCTTCCGCCCCTAGCAGGTCTCCTGGTGACAGCTGTTTTTACACTATTTAGAAATCTGGGAGTTATGACGTTAAATAAATGCATTGGCCATCGCATTTCCTGTTTCATATCATCCTGAACAATGAAAAGGAAAATAAATATCCAACAGCAAATCATAAGTTTGGGTGTTGTGCTGACTGACTGCTCTGTTCTCCTATTGGCTGTCCTTTCTTGGATTTACATTTTAGTCCACCAATCACAGATCAGTAAGGGATTGCTGGATTTATGCATTATGTACGACACCAAGACCAAGCAAACTTTAGGGTTCCTGGAAGGAGGCTACACTTGTAGGGGCCCTGGGGACTCCGCTGCCCCTGGGACGGACCCTAGGTGACGCCACTGTCGCTGGGAGGGCCCCTAGGGCGCCACCGCTTCTGAGAGGGACCCTGGGGCCGATTCTGTCCTTGGAAGATCCCCTGGGAATTTCCATGCGGGTGCTAACTATGTGCTAAGAAATGGAGCCTGTTCAGATTATTGTAATTAATGTAAATAATTAAAGCATTTCTACACCTTCAGCCGTGACAACGGTAGCACATGTTAATACCACACACTACATGTGGTAGCCCATGTTAAATACCACACACTAGATGTGGTAGCCCATGTTAAATGCCACACACTAGGTGTGGTAGCACATGTTAAATACCACACACTAGGTGTGGTAGCACATGTTAAATACCACACTATATGTGGTAGCACATGTTAAGAATCACACACTACATGTGGCAGCACATGTTATATACCACACACTATGTGTGGTAGCACATGTTAAATACCACACACTACAGTAGATGTGGTAGCACATGTTAAATACCACACACTAAATGTGGTAGCCCATGTTAAATACCACACACTAGATGTGGTAGCACATGTTAAATACCACACACTAGATGTGGTAGCAGTGAGGAACGATATGATAGAGGTGTGTAAATAGAAGTCAGGGCTAAACAAAGGGGACATTACAAAGGTACGCAAACTATCCAACCAGGAGCGAACTCGTAACAATGGTTTTAAATTAGACCAATTTAGATTTAGGCGCGAAACAGATAAACACTGGTTTCGAAATAGAGTAGTGGACGAGTGGAACAAGTTACCAAATATCACCATTAACTCGAATACGCTGGATAGCTTCAAACATAGGTTGGATGGTTATATGAGCAATCGGGGTTGGGTTGTAAATGGGACTGCCCAGTATGGGCCAATAGGCCCACTGCAGTTTCCTCCATTCTTATGTTCTTATGTTAAATACCACTCACTAGATGTGGTATCACATGTTATATACCACACACTACATGTGGCAGCACATGTTAAATACCACACACTAGATGTGGTAGCACATGTTAAAATATCACACACTACATGTGGCAGCACATGTTATATACCACACACTACATGTTAAATACCACACACTACATGTGGCAGCACATGTTAAATACCACACACTACATGTTAAATATCACACACTACATGTGGCAGCACATGTTATATACCACACACTACATGTGGCAGCACATGTTAAATACCACACACTACATGTTAAATACCACACACTACATGTGGCAACACATGTTATATACCACACACTACATGTGGCAGCACATGTTATATACCACACACTACATGTGGCAGCACATGTTAAATACCACACACTACATGTTAAATATCACACACTACATGTGGCAACACATGTTATATACCACACACTACATGTTAAATACCACACACTACATGTGGCAGCACATGTTAAATACCACACACTACATGTGGCAGCACATGTTAAATACCACACACTAGATGTGGTAGCACATGTTAAATATTACACACCACATGTTAAAGGCAAGTTCTGGTGTGTGTGAGGACCAAACTGCTGCATAAAGTCAAAGCCAAAGGCGTTTTATCGCTATGCAAAGTCGAAATTAAAAACACAAGTAGGAGTATCAGACCTGAGGCTTGAAGATGGTAGTTATGCAGATTCTGACCAGGATAAAGCTGAGGCATTGAACAGCTTCTTTTCCTCAATGTTCACAAGAGAGGATGTGATTAACCTTCCTGCGTTTGACGTCAGACGGTTCGACACAGCACTGAACCACATTGTGTTCACAGAAGAGGGTATATGAAATAAACTGTCAAAACTGAAGGTCCATAAGAGGCCCGGCCCTGACATGATGTATCCCAGAGTGCTAAGAGAGTTGTGAAAAACAAACTTGCCGAGCCCTTGAAGATCCTGTTCTGTAAATGCCTGGATGAACAAAGGGTCCCAGTGATTGAAAAATGGCTTATGCAAGTCCTATCTTCAAGAAAGGCGATTGTCACTCGACGAACAACTATAGACCGGTGAGCCTGACCAGCATAGTATGTAAAGTACTTGAGAGTATTATCAGAGATGCCACGATGAAACATCTACTGCGAAACAACCTTGTACATTTGGTAAAGAGGATGAAAGAAAAGGAAAAGTAACAGAGACGTGACCGATTGCCCAAGCGGCTAACGAGCCGATCAGTGGTAAGTAAAAGTAACACGCACACACACTGGCAGAGAAAGAGGTAGAGAAGGACATTTGAAGAGAGAGGGAAGGAGGAAGGTAGAGAAGAAAGTTTGAAGTGAGGATAAGGGAGGGAGAGAGGTAGAGAAGGTAGTTGAAGAGGGAAGGAAAGAGGGAGGGAAGTTTGAAGAGAGAGTGAAGGGCAGTGGGAGAGAGGGGGATAGAGAGGGAAGGTTGAACAGGAGGGAGAGAGAGTGTGAGGGAGGTAGAGACGGAAGTTTGAATAGAAAGAGTATTCTTACCCTAATTCAACAACGATAAAAATAAAAGCACAAATAAATAAATAAATAAACAAATACATAAATAAATAAATAAATAAATATTATCTTTACTTCTGCTGTAACATCTACAGTATAGTTTTCCCCAACATATTCCGTTTTCTGTGAGGGTTTGTTATCAACATTCACCAGCAACTTGGAGCCAGTATGGTCCCTTTTCCAGTAAATTCTACGAAATCTTTGACATAAGACTTGTATAAAGGTTAGTTTTGATGCCTTTACTTATCAATATATTATATAAGTAGTATTTTTGCGTAATAGAATCCGAGAGAATCCATAAATTCGAAAACTAAAGACAAAATAGCGTCTTGTATCAAAGATGATACGTTAAATGTTAAAGATGTACTACGAACAGAAGCTCTTGTACATTTTCCTAAGAGACTGAATCAACAGTGTATCCTTATTTATATACAGAAAGTTACCCTAGGATTGTTAGGTTAAGTTACGTTGAGTTAGTAACATATACTCTCAAAGATAGGAGAATAAAGAGGGCGTCAAGTCACGTTCGTGGTATTTTTTTCAACAATACTCGCCGTGTGGTGGCCAGTGGTCAGAAAGCGTCAGTCGTTGGAACAGGTGGAGTAACTCCTTCATTGCTGGACTATTTCGTCGTTTTCTTGACAATACTGAAGCCTCTGGCTTATCTACTGTGTTTTGATGGATTATTGAAGTGAATGATAATAGAGACTTTAGAAATAACTGACATTATTGGTATATAAACGGTGGTGATGTGTCAACAAACAGGACCCAAACACCGACAGGCTGTACACAAGTCTCCTGCAGGTGAGGACGCTGCCATTTTCTCAACAAAACTTGTTGCTACTTGACATTTTTTTTGTCATGTGTTTATTGATTCAGTATGTTGGTGGTACACTAATATTTCAAAGATAACAGTAAAATGTGGCAATTTGGGTGGGAGGAGTTGTGTTGGTGAAGGTGCATTCAACAATAATACGTGTGAACTCCCTATTCTTGTTTTTCTGTTCTATTTCATGTAGATTTTCACCAATATATTCATCTTAACCCTTGCAATTTAAATCCAGAGTGAAAGTTAAGAAACAGCGATGTAAAATATAAAACAAAAAAAAGAATTTTGGTTTTACCAGTAGCAGCGCGCCGCGTCAAATGCCAGTTGAACCCGTAACTACCCAATCACATAACAACCTTGTCAATTATTTTACACCATTGGGTAACTGTATTCTGATACCTTAACCCACTATTATACACTACTCGCTTTCTATTATGATCCAAAGAAATGTTAATAGAAATAACGATATATGATGAACCGTTCAAAAAAAAATCTTTAGTGAACGTATGATAGAGCCTAAGATGTGTCCATAAAGATCTACTTATTCCAACACAACCCACTTCCATACATAAACAACCCACCTCCACCACACACACAACCCACCTCCACCACACACACAACCCACCTCCTCCATACTCTTGTCTGCCTTCCACCACGCACTACACCAAGTACACTATTGATACTACATCATCATCACTACATCAACTAACAACGTCCACTACATTATTTACACTACACTATCCATACATCACCATCACTACATCCACTACACTATCTATAGTACATCCACTACACTATCTACAGTACATCCACTACACTATCTACACAGTACATCCACTACACTATTTACAGTACATCCACTACACTCTCTACAGTACATCTACTACACTATCCACAGTACATCCACTACACTACAGTACATCCACCACACTATCTACAGTACATCTACTACACTATCCACAGTACATCCACCACACTCTACAGTACATCCACTACACTATCTACAGTACATCCACTGCACTATCTACAGTACATCCACTACACTATCTACAGTACATCCACTACACTATCTACAGTACATCCACTGCACTATCTACAGTACATCCACTACACTATCTACAGTACATCCACTACACTATCTACAGTACATCCACTACACTATCTACAGTACATCCACTACACTATCTACAGTACATCCACTACACTATCTACATACATCCACTACACTATCTACATACATCCACTACACTCTACATACATCCACTACACTATCTACAGTACATCCACTACACTCTCTACAGTACATCCACTACACTATCTACAGTACATCCACTACACTATCTACAGTACATCCACTACACACACTACAGTACATCCACTACACTATCTACAGTACATCCACTACACTATCTACAGTACATCCACTACACTATCATACATCTACAGTACATCCACTACACTATCTACAGTACATCCACTACACTCTCTACATTACATTCACTACACTATCTCTACATTACATTCAACTACACCCACAGTACATCCACTACACTATACAGTACATCCACCACACCATCTACAGTACATCCACTACACATCTCTACTACATGCACATCCACTATCTACTTACATCCACTACACCATCTACAGTACATCCACTACACCATCTACATCCACACACTCACTCCACACACTATCTACAGTACATCCACTCCACTACACTATCTACAGTACATCCACTACACTCTCTACAGTACATCCACTACACTCTCTACATTACATTCACTACACTCTCTACAGTACAT